CTCTCTCTCTCTCTCTCTCTCTCTCTCTCTCTCTCTCTCTCTCTCTCCCAGCTTGCCCTCATTCTCACTGGCAAGCCCATTCCTTCATTGGCATTAGAGCCTACTTCTTTCAGGATTCCAGCATATACTGAAAACCAGCTGAGACGCCTATCCTCATGGACTGAACAGCTATTTTCTATTGATGTAATCATTGTTTGACTAGCTGGACCCCAGTCTGTAAGCTACTGTAACAAATCCCATATTTACATATGGGATACATACATACAGAAACATTTGTATGTGTTTGTATATATGCATATCTCCTCACTCCAAATTTGAAATCTGAACCATTACCTGGTTCCAAGCATACTGGATAAGAGACACTCAAGATGTAGTAAAATGATTGTCACCTAATTGTTAGCAAATTTTATTTACAGGATTTACAACGATCGTTTTAGTAATGCAGAATAGTAAAGCTACATTTTTTTTAAGCAGAAGAGGAAGCCCTGCTCATTGGAATAAATGAAAACTAAAGACAACTACATCTACACAAGCAGTTTTGCCCCTTCAGCTCCAGACCACTGGGTGGCTGACCACACAGGCGGTTCTCAGGATTTGAAACCTGTAGCACAAATGAATAATAAAAACCCAGAAACAGAAAATGGGGTTCAAGCTGAAGATCAGAAAAGCAAAGCAGCCAACCGCTAGGGAGACCTTTTGCCTCTACCAAATCTTCAGACAGAAATGAGTAAGATCCTGTCTCCACAAATCTTCAATCTCCAGGCCACATTGAGTTCCTGTCAGTTTATATTCCTCTCTGCCTAGTTATATCGCTCTGCCTCCACCTCTAATGCTGGGATTAAAGGCGTGGGATCCCAAGTGCTGGGATCACCTTTGCGTGGGCTCTGTTTCTTTTTTAGACAGACACAATCTTGTGCAGCCCAGGGTGGCCTTGAACTCACAGAGATCCCCCTGCCTCTGCCTCCTGAGTCCTGGAATTAACGGTCTGTGCTGCCACTCCCTGGCCTGGATGGCGAACTAGGACAGCTGTTTGGCCCTCTGATCTTCAGGCAAGCTTTGCTTGTTAAAACACGAATAATATATCACCATAGAAACCTGAAGGATGATGACCTCCTAGGTTGCAAAGGAAACACTCCGTTTATGAGTAGCTAAGATAGAACAGCAACTACCAAGCCTTCTGCTTAACCTGCAACCACTTCCCAAGGGAATCAAAGGCAACCCACCACCTGGAGGCCTCCAAGGATGTAAAAAAAAATCAATCCATATTTACCTTATTCACAGACTTTCTCTAATGTATATGAGAAAATTAAGTATCAAATATTTTAAAAAATCTTTATACCTTTTCAAAACGTTTACAGATTCTCATTGACAAGTTATAATGAATAAGATCAGAGAAGGCCATGAGTGCACTTGGACAATCTCTCTTAAAGTCAAATCAATAGTATATCTCATTTACTCTGAAATATTCCACATATTTATAGAAAGGAACTGAACAATGCTATCACTGTCCAATAGTTGGGAAATAAATAAAACCTGCTTTTTAGCCCTGCCTATCTTCCCTGGCAACTGATACTGACTTTGGCCACATTTCTTTAAGCATTTTTCTCAGGAAATGCAATGGGGTGGGGGAGCAAAGCAAAACATGGCCTATGCGTCACTGGGAAATTGTTGTATGGCACGTCCCCTTGGAGTCATGCAATTTCAAAGGAAAGTGGTAGCTAGCGGGGAGTGCCAGCCTCAGCTGTGCCCTGCTCCATGTCAATTAGAGGAATCACTTGCACGCACAGAGGGGCTTCACTGAGAGCCCACATCAGAGATGGCAAGTGAGCCCTGACTGCCTCCTGGAAACCAGACACTACGTGGGCCAGTGTGACCCATTGACTGCTTCTTTCGGGATCCAGAGTCCAGGGTGCATTTGGTCACGTATGGATTCTGAACAGTCAACTTGAGAGGCAAAACCCCTGTCCTGTGGGGTCCCCCCGTGTCACCAAAACCACCTCAAGATCAGAATAAGAAATACAGCTAAATGGGCCAAGAGATGCCATCATTTAACTAAATCCCACCCCACTACTAGTACCCCTCCTTCTGAACTGCTAGGTACTTAAAGGCCAAAGTAGGTTAGCCTTGGCAACCCCATGACAGAAAACAAACGGTGAATACCTTGGGTCTGTTGATTGGATAGCAAAGCCTTCAAAGTCTTAAAGCACACAGTGTGTGCTCACCTATTCTACATTCTTAAAGCACCCAGTGTGTGCTCACCTACTCTTCTATATTCTTAAAGCACACAGTGTGTGCTCA